CAAGATTCTTGTCACAAAATTTAAAGAAGGCCCAGGCTTATGGCCCAGGGTAAAACACGTTTCTAGAATATGCTAAGTTCCTTAGCATCCACAAGGGCCCAATGCTACAACAAATACATAAATGATAGACAAATGAATAATAAGAAGATAAGATACATAAGTCAAGATCTTTTGGCACAGAGAACTACTAACTGAGACATCAATTGCATCTCTTAATGGCCATGCAGGTGCAGGAGTGAAAATAGCAAAAAGATCTACATCTACAAATAGATCTGTAGATCTACAAATAGGTAAACATAATGTTGTATATTTTATATGTGGAAGCAGATTCAGGTTCCAGATTCTTGAATGTAGCATGGATAAACTAAATATTCCTGACCAAAAACATAGAGACAGACTTTAGAGAAATGTTGGTAAATCCAAGAAGGACTTACTAGAAACATTTTTCTCCAAATTACATTTTACTGTCCTATCCTTTTACTCTCACACAACCATGTTTTTAGTTTTCCATAGTAACTGGCTGCCTTTACTGTCCTGGACATTCTTCTTGCTCTGATTATATAATACCAGCTATTGTTTCCTGTTCATACTTCTTTTATCTTTATCATGGACAAGGTCAGAATGTGTAAAGTGAGAGGTATAGAACTCAGTGTTCTAGCTTAATGGGCAATGTCACCGAAATCAGCACTTCCTGTTTGGTCCTCTATGCAGCAGTTACTACTCTACCTGGCCCCTCTGAGAGCTCATATCAAGTAAGAAATATGAAACATAATTCTGTGTGCCTGTAAAAGTTCTTGACTATGCTGACTGTTGCTTGATTCCAGGCTTATTATTTAAAGAGCTTTGGAATACATTCTCCCTGAAGTTAAGCACATGGGTATGTGCTCACAAGAGTTCACAAGACTTATGATGATGAATTCAGTCTCATTGTGAGAAATCAAATGCTCTGGAGCAATGACAAGTGATCAGTGAGCAAATGTATTTTAGAAAATGTGTAAGGAGGTTGAACATTTCATTTAAAAGGCTGTTATTGTTTAGTTGAGTGGAAGTCTTATGGGAAAAAAATGGTAAATGAGCTCCACCATTTGTGTGTGTATGTGTGTGGTGTGCCTCTCTCTCTGTCTCTCTGTGTCTCTGTCTCCCTCTCTCTCTCTCTCTCTCTCTCTCTCTCTCTGTCTCTCTCTCTCTGTGTGTGTGTGTGTGTGTGTGTGTGTGTAAGTGTGAGTGAGTATGCGTGTATGTGTGTTTGCTTCTGGGGACACATACTGATGCCCTAATCCAAAGTGCCAATGTGTCTGCCCAGGACTGTGTTTTTATCAAGCTCCACATGCACACTCACATCAAAGGACTGGTGAGAAGGGAGGTCCATGAATAATATTAGATCAACAAAAATGCAAATCCCCTTACCAACTTTAATCTATAGGATGTTTCTCCCCCACATCTTGTTCTTTTCCCCTACTCAAGCTCTTTCAACCTCAGCATTCCTACTTGTACTATTACATCACAAGCACATGCAACCCCCACCCTTAAATTATCATTTCCCCCTCTTATAGAGGCTCCTATAACTCCCAAAACAAGATAGTCAGTTGCCACTGCTCTTGGTTGTCCATGATAATTAGTTGGTAAGGCCCCATTGCTGAAGGTGCTGCATGCTTTAGTCATAGAACATAGAGAAATCAAGCTTGAACTGGAATGGAAGCTTCTTCCCTGCTAGCTAGTCCACATTGTGCTAGAAGGTGTGATGAAGACTACTGGGGGAGAACTGTTATAAAGATATCTACTCTGGTCAGAGGCACTTTCTGTAGTGGTTAGTGGTGGATGTAGAGATAAGTGGTAGAAAACAGAATAAATGACTATCAAATGCTCACCTATGGATGAGACATCTACAATAGATATCCAATGCTCAGGGAACATGGAAAAGAGGTGGGAGGAATGTGAAAGCCAGGAGAACAAAGGGAGCAGTGTGGTGTCCTAACTTCTGGGTACCAACACATGCTTGTACTATTGGACTCTTGATTACCTGTCCAAGATCTCCATAGGATTTGGCCTGTCAATGCTGTCATGGAAGGAGGAGGGGCTCACAAGGCTCCACCTCTCCCTGAGGATTTATATATAGATAATTGCTGATGGGCAGTGACATTTTCTTCAGTGGTTCAGTTACTAGGGAGGTACACAATCCTGTAAACAAACTTCACCAATAGTGTTTATAAGCAATCCTAGGGAAGCTCAATGGGGTCACATAAAAAGGACAGGAAAGTAGAAGCATGGCTAGATGGGAAAAGACAGATGACTCACAGAAGTGGGAGGAGGACAAGAGAGGGTAATGGAGCAAGTATGATCAAAACACATGTGCACATACATGAAAATGTCACAGCAAAATCTGTTATATATGACTAATTTATGCTAATTAAACATGAAAATAAAATATTAATTTCACATAAGTGACTTGGTATATATTTGTTGTTTTATACATAGTATTTGAATGAATTAATAATAATACTATATAGACAATAAGTTACTTCCTGTTTATTACCAGAATATTTACTTTGTTTTCCTATAGAATGTACCATCTGTATTTAACTATTTCACTGTGTTTATTCTGGATTGGAACTTTTTCTTGTCTTTACTGCATTGCCAGTGCTAATCAAGCATTTTTCACGTAGCATGTATGTTCATCAATACTGGATTAGACAGTTAGAGTTATTACATAGATTAGAAAAGCCTGAACAAGAAGATGTATTATTATTATTATTATTATTATTATTATTATTATTATTATTATCATTATCATTATTGGTTTTTTGAGACAGGGTTTCTTTGTGGCTTTGAAGGCTGTCCTGGAACTAGCTCTTGTACACCAGGCTGGTCTTGAACTCACAGAGATCCGCCTGGTTCTGCCTCCCGAGTGCTGGGACTAAAGGCATGAGCCACCACCACCCAGCTGAAGATGAATGCATTATTAAACTTAAATATTTTCTTGAATATGTATTAAAGTGCTGAGAGTATTTCCAGCAGGTTGGTTCAACTCTTGTGGAAAGATGGAGATTATAGCTAGAAAAACCTCAGCAAAGTCTACAAATGGATAGTGGTCCTGGGTTGATACCCATGATAGTTTAAACACTAATGTTCCTGTGCCTGCAGTTGTCCATAGCCACTGCCTAAATTATAGACCCCTTGTTGCACTCTTGAATAGGCTTGCAACATCCTGCTTTTGAAACATCTTGTTTAATTTCCTGTGCTGTGCTGCATAGACTACCTTCAAGATCTCAGGACTTTTGTTACATTTGCAAATTACCTGGGTTTTCTGATTCCTTTCTAAACAATGCAGATCCCTAATCCATAGTTCACACCAATATCTGTGGTCCCCACATTGTACTAAGTGCTGCCACTATGCCTGCGATGTCTATTTAGCTCTATGTCTGCCTTATCCATCTGGGGCCTCCAGAATCTTCGAGTAGATTTGGAGATTCTTCTAGCTAAGCTTAAATACTCTCCACTCCATTTTCCTTACATCACCATCCTGCCTGGATCATATTCTATGACATCACCATCCTGCCTGGATCATATTCTGTGACATCACCATCCTGCCTGGATCACATTCCATTCAGGCAGATATTAAGAGATACTGCCATTTCAACTTTTTATGTAGACATGAGATGACAAAACTTTCCAAAGAAAATGGTTTTATAGCCAACTCAGAGATTCGAGCCCAGGAGAGTTTAAATCTTTCAAATTGTATGAGAACCGATATTCAGAAAAGTCAATGTGTTAAATTACACAAAAATTCTTTGGTTTAAAATTCTAGGCTCAAACATTGTAGGTAGAGCTTTCACTGATTAAAGCTTCATGAGGACATTTGAACCTTGTGAGGTATGTAGGAAATTATCTGCTGTGTGGGATACCAGGCTCCAGCAAGGCCTCCAGTGAGCTTTCACAAGGAACATATGAGTTATAGTTCTCAACACTGTTGCTTTATACAACATGCCATGACCCCAACATGTAAATGCTGTGCCTAATGAGAACCACCGGCTAAGATGAATTGTTTTTCAATTGTTGGGAAGAATACACAGAAAGAATGCTTGTTTAAAACCTAAATGAAATCATCAAGAAGTGGCCTAAGTATTACACAGGCATTCTCCAGTGTGTGTCACATGAAATCAGTTAGTTATAGTATGAACCATCTAACTATAGAGTCTTTTGTGTAGTATGGCATAAGAACTTTTATAAGTAAGTACTAAACATGAGTAGCAGCTCTTTATTATATGTTATGTGTAAATATTCAGAATTTTAGGACAACTCTTTAATTACCAAATATGATTGACATTTAAACTTCTCCATAGATAAATAGGAAATGCAATAGCCAAGATATGGAAAACCAAGCACCCTCAAAATAGAACAATGTTTATTTAATCTAATATTTTCAGCACTTAATAAGGATAGTAGTAATTTGGGTATTAATGAGAAAAATGAAGTCAACTGTGTTTACTTCAAATTTACCTAATTAATAAAAGTTGAAGCTGCATGCTAATTTGTGGCCTGAGCTCTTTTTGAGAAAGGACTGCACTCACCATCTTCAGCCTCCCTCTTGTGACCAGTCAGCACCTTCCTCATTTCCTTAAACCTTAAGTGTCTAAGATATACTGAAGCCAGAGCAACTTCAGTATTTGTTTCCCTAAAAGGGATGCAATTACCCTGTGGTCAAATCTCATCTTTCTCTATTTTAAACAGGTGTCAGTTGTTACTGTCGTTGAGTTACTGGGGATCGAACTTAATCTATATTCCCAGGCCTTAGACATTTTAATATTGAGAAACCATCCTTTTCATTTTAAGCCTCATTTACTTCAAGTAAACTGGCAGGGTCTAATATATATTTTTTCCCCTATGTGAGCTAGCTGGACTGGCTGATAGATGGCCAGATAATTGTAATCACTGAAAGAAAAGATTTCTCTGTGTCCGTTATCATTGTACTACTGCTCATGTTTCATTGTTCTTCTCGACAGGGATTCGATAAACACGTGGATGTGTCATATATTGCCAAACATTACAACATGAGCAAAAGCAAAGTAGACAACCAGTTCTACAGTGTGGAAGTAGGAGACTCAACCTTCACAGTTCTCAAGCGCTACCAGAACCTAAAGCCAATTGGCTCTGGGGCTCAGGGAATAGTTTGGTAAGTAGAATGAATTTGTTAACTTTTAAAGGGAATATGCCATATTCGTTTACAAAATACAAACAGATAAACACAAATAACAGGTGAAAGAATATATTGAAAATATAAAATTATAAGTATCTTTGTTTATTCATTATCTACTTGTTAACAATATACAATGTGGCTTATGATGTTTTTCCTGATCACCAGAAAACAAAAAGTATAACACAAAGATAGTGAATAGATTCAGAGGTTGAGAGTGCTTTAGCTGTTGCTACCATATTTAGAAAAGCTTATTTCTGTATTTCACCACAAGAACAGTTATATCTGAAGACAGGGTCAGTTAGATCCCCAACACACTTAAGAGAGATGAATGAGTTCTGTCTATGACTGTTATAGTTTGTACTGGCAAGTTTTGTGTCAACTGAACTTGCCACAAACCAAACGCATTTGAGAAGAGGTAAACTCAACTGAGAAAATGCTCCCCCCTCATGGGCCGGTAGGCAATCTTGTGAGGCTATCTTAATGGATGTTTGATTTGAGAGGTCCCACTTTACTGTGGGCAGTAACATCTCTGGGCTGGTGGTTCTGGGCGCTATAAGAAAGCAGGCTGAACAAGCCATGGGGAGCAAACCAGTAAGCAGAAAGTCATTAAGCCATGGCCTCTGCATCAGCTCCTGCTTTCAGATTCCTGCCCTGTGTGAGTTTCTGCCTTGACTTCGTTCAGTGATGGAGTGTGACTTGAAAGTGTAAGATTAAATAAAACCTTCCTCCCGAAGTTGCTTGGACATGGTGTTTTATTATAGCAATAGAACCTTAACCAAGACAAAGTTCAATGTTCAAATATAGTTAACTATGTAGAAGTAGTATAAAATATGTTTCCTTAGGGATTCTTGGCAGTGTACAACTGTCTGTAATTACAGTTCCAGGAGATCCAATGTCCTCTTCTGACCTCCATGGTCTCCAGCATGCACATGTTTCTCACTTTCTCTCTCTCACACACACACACCCACACCCACACACACACACACACACACACACGGGTACAGGCATTTGTCTGCACAAGTGCATGAATGCACACATAAATAAATCTTTACAAAATCTTTGCTTAACCTTTCCTTGGCTCCCTAGTAAGCATTCTTTCATGTTATGTTTGAGTGATTACATGAAATCATCTATTTGTGAATTAGCTGTCATGAGACTCTTGGAAAACTAATATCAAGTTAATAGACAAGCACTCTTTTAAATAGTTTTAGTATGAAATGTCTTAACTAAATATATGTAGAATACTTATTGACATAGTAATTTTCAATTTTTGATTATTCATACCAATCAGTAAAAATTTAGTATGTGTACTCTAAATATATTTAGATATTTATATATAAGGGATTATTTATTATAATGTAATGTATTTTATTGTCTAAATTATTGACATATTAGTTTTATGTCTATAGAAAAACAAAAGTATACAGTGTGGGATGATGAAGACAAAGTTATGTTTACTTTTTAAAATTTTAAACATTTTTCTCATCCATTTGTTAATTCTGGAAATGCCCTTTTATCAACAATGGTTTACTGCCTGTAAGATACGCAAGGTAATGGTGGTGGCTTGTTGTTGGTTTTTGTTTTTGTTGTCCTTTTTGGGTGTGGTTTTGTTTTGTTGGTGTATTTGGTTTTTGTTTGTTTTTTGAGAAAGAACTTAAAATTGGGTGGGTAGAGAAGGAGAGGAGATCTGGAAAGACTTGGGGTGGGGAAGAATATGATAAAACATATGTAAATTTTAAAATTGCTTTAAATAATACAGAAATAAAAAGACATGAATATCTAAAATAAGAAAAGAAAAATCTGGAGATACTATCTTAATGGTAGCAGTGAATGGCTTCTATTCTTTCCCATGTACTCACTGTACATTTCTTGATCTATTTGAAATTTGGTCACTCCATTATGGGTTTAGTTCAGAGTCTTCACTTGGCTGATGTGAGTGCAGTGCACACTTCCCACATCAGGATAATAGGATCTAGGTCACATTTGCCAAATACATGAAAGCTGTTGTAGAAAGTCACCTGTAAATTTCCATTTTTTAATCACTTTACAATCTGAAAAGTAGAACATTTTTGCGTTTTTAAACAATGAATTAAAACTTTCATTTAAAAAATATTGAAACAGTTTGAAAAAGAAATGTGTATTTATAGCATTTTTATTTATCTATATTTATGGCTCATGTATAAGGTAACCTCTTGGCAGCACAAAATATTTTAATGGTGTGGAAGTGGCATTGTTACCTTTCAAAGATGCCTTCCAATGATCCTCAGGATCCAAGGATATGTTACTGTATAGGACAAACGGAAGCTCACACTGAGAATCCTAACAAGTAGAGGCTATCCTGACATATCAAATGGGACCAACATAGTCACACTAGTTCTTGAAAGTATGAAAGAAGACAGAGGAGTGTGTCAGAGGCATATCATCAGAAAGGGTCAAGTCAACATTTGAAATACTGGAAATTGGCTGTATGGCAGGCTTTGATAATGGAGGAAGTGGTACCAGAAGCCCAGGACTGGGACTAGCTTTGGGGAGCTGGAAATGGCTCAGCGTAAGCAGGAGACTGAAGAAAGAGTTTCTGTCCCACCTAGTCCTGCAGCCATTTAGTCCCAAATAAACACACAGAGGCTTATATTAATTATAAACTGTTTGGCCAATGGCTCAGGCTTCTTATTGGCTAGCTCACTCTTGATTATTAACCCATTTGTATTAATCTAAGTATCTCCACATAGTCTTGGCTTACCAGAGAATGCCCAGGCATCTTATCTTCCTGGCATCTACCTCGAGACTCACTCACTGCCTCCCTCTTCCCAGAATTCTCCTTGTCTGGTAGCCCCACTTTTACTACCTACCTGGCTCCTGGCCAATCAGTGTTTTTTCATCAACCAATAAGAAAAATATATATTCACATCATAAAGAAGAACATCCCCCATCAGGAGACATTACTCTCAATTGTAAGGAAGTGGTACTGCCAACACCCTGAACCGAAAGAAGCTAGTTTTTCTCTGGGATCCCCCATGGAAGACCTCAGCTTTCCCACATCTTGATTTTAGCCCTGTGAAACTCCCACAGGGATCCCAATCTACAGAATTGTAAGATAATACATCTATTGCTTAAGAAGTTGTTTTGTGGAAGTTGTGCCAATGGCACAGTTAAGATTTAACATGAACATAACTGCTGTCTGACTTGGATATGGCTCAGTTGCTAAGAGCATTGGCTGGGTTTCCAGAGGATCTGGATTCAATTCCCAGCAGCCACATGGTTCTTCAAAATTATCTATAGCTCCAATTTCAGGGAATCCAATGCCCTCTTCTGGTCTGTGAGGGCACTGGCACACAAGGAGTGCACAGACATATAAACAGGCAAAACATCCATACACATAGAACATCAAAATAACTAAAAGTTAAGATAATTGCTTCAAATCCCCCCAACTTATTGAGGTATGGGGTGAGAACAGACTTCTTAGCTACTTTTTTTTTTTTTTTTTTATGGAGAACTATAGCATATTCACATGAGCGAGTTTTCCGCAATAAGATTCATAGCTCAGGGATACAGTTTTGGATAGTTTTATTTTTTTCTTTCTAATAAAACTGCCATGGAAAATGAGCTATTTCTGGAAATTCTCCAGTTGCAGGCAATGGGCAGCCCTTTGAGGAAGCCACCCAAGTAGCATGTGGCTCAACAAAATAATATGATCATGGAAGGCTTGAAACTCCTAAGATGTTTGCAGTGTGTGCTTCATAGGCTGTTGGGTGCTCTCTTTCTCCTTTATATGCAATGTAAATCATCCTTGGCCTTACATAGAGTTGCCAATAATGGAAGTCAATAATGGAACTGATCCTGGGGACACTGAGTTTTTGGACACCCATGAAGGGGTTCTGGTTACTTGTGTCCTAGAACAAGGAGTTAGTCAGAAACATATCCGTGGTGTAGCAGAAGTTTGAACAGTTTATTAGAGAAAGATTCTCTTCCAATGGAGGGAGAAGGCTAGGGCAAACATAATGTTTCTTGAATATCGCCAGTGCATAACAGGGTTGTATCATATAGCACAGTTATATCTTAAAGTTATATTATATAATATAGTTAATCAGAAAGCTATATCATGCAGCACAGTTATATCAGAAAGTTATATCATATGGTACAGACTTTCCGTGTAATTTGTATTGTGTGGGGCTTCAGGGCTCACGTTCCCCCTCATGCTCTATCTAGTACAGGTAGTTCTGAACATAACTCGTTGTATTGCATATCTCAACAGCGTCTTAAATATCCACCCAGGGGTGAGTTCTAGTATATAATGAACCACATATCATCTTCATGAACTCTGGAGTGCCCCTTTGCAAGTGTCAGTGGCCCCATCCAGGATTTTCCAGTCCATCTTGGATGACTGGCTTCTCACAGCCTTTACTTCAGCTTCCCCTGGATTTTCACTCACTGCCATACTCTTCTGCCTCAACGCTACCCATGATAAGATTTTAAAGCTATTTTTAGAACAAAATTATTGGCAAATGAAACCAAAGCCAAGGAAACAAAAATCCCACTTGCATTTCAAAATGGTAACCTACGTTACCATTTTGCTGAGATTCTGGGCCCTTTTGCCTCTGGTGGAGGGGAATAAGGCCAAGCCATACTCATTTCAGCACAGGGCAAAATGCAGGACAGTTAGAGGGATTCTAGGCCTTGCTCTGTGGTATGTGTGAACACTGCACTTAGAACGCACTCTCTGTAGACAGATATGGGCGTCTCTTCCTTCTGCCCCCCCAACCTTAGAGTTAAGATATCTTTATTTAGTTATAACATGGGCCTGTCATGTGCCGTTGAAGTCTTCGTTTGGTTTGCTTTCCCTGCCAACTTTCCTCCATTTAATTTCTCTTCTATTGACTTGTGAGCCCCTTCATACCCAGCACACATCCATAGTCAGATTTGTCCCTGTGTTCATGACAATGGTCACATGAATGTATTGTCTTAACTATTCTGCCTAA